ATATGAAGTTATTTTTCTCAGAAAGCTAATTCTAGCCTGACACCTAAATAAGCTGATGTACAGAAATCCTATGTCCCCAAATTCCTGCATATTATACTTTTTATTTTTGGCTGCACTGGTGGGCCTGCAGGATCTTCGTTCCCTGACCAGGGATCAAACCCATGCCCTCTGCAGTGGAAACAGAGTGGTAACCATTGGACTGCCAGGAAAGATCCCTTGTATACTGTAGAAAGAATAGCTGCAAATATGGCTGAGATGTAAAGATTATAGTCACAATCTTCAATTCAAATATTCTATTTCATTGACAGGCTATGAATAGGCCCTGGAGAATGGGCTCAACTAGTCACAGACTAAGCAAAGAAAGGAAATGTCTACATTTTACAGGCCTCAGGTTAGGGTGACTAATTGACATCTCTGTGGCAGCAAGTTTCCACAATGTGAACCTCAGCTGTAGGGTGATACGAAGACACAGGCAATCCTGATTCAATCAATCAATTTAGAGAATGTCTCTGGATTGAATCAATCATTGCGCCACAGGGCATCCTGTCTTCCATTATTTAAAATGTTCACATAACCCTAAACGTGTAAGCAGAATGAATCTGGTTAATAGAAGTAAAAAATGAAGATCTTAGAGTTACACACTGTTTAAGATGTAAGCTTGGTGCTCTGGTTCTGACGCGTGTTCTCAAGTATCAAGGCCAGCTAAGAGGGCTATCCATGCCATCAGTCACTGCAGAGCTGCAGTTCAAAGGCTCAGGAAACCTGCCACCTGAGGTATCTGTTTAATCCTTCAATCCTGACACTTGGCAGATGTGATTCACTGAGTAGATTAAGTACTTTGCTCTGCACTGCAATGAATAAAGACAGATGTAATCTTTGCCTGCAGACTTTTCCAGACAAGCAGTAGATCTTTTTTCCCCCACAAGTATTAATAAATGGAGGCTTATCTGGTGGCTCAGATGGTCCGCCTGCAATGAGGGAGACCTGAGTTCAACCCCAGAGTTGGGAAAATCCCCCGGAGAAGGAAACGGCAACACACTCCAGTATCCCTGCCTAGGGATGGACTCTGTTTGAGACCTGAGCAAAACAAAGATATAAAAACAGGATTTAGAAAGTGATTGTTCTGTGGTGTTTTGATACTCAATACCAGTTTTTTACAGAATAAATATTAGCCTGTCTCTGCAGGGCAGCATCTTGCTGTGTAGCACCTACTCCCAGGGCTTATTAAGAGAGCCGGTCAGCTGGAGTTGGGGATTCTTTGGTCCACCCAGGTCAAGAGTGCTACATTTCTAGTGTTTCTTACTTTCTCAATTACCTTTTGTATTTTGGTATATCCTAGTTATAGAAATATATTCTCCCCTATATTGAACGGGTTTAGAATGTATTTGTCCTGTTCATCTCTCCTGCTTTGAATCTGGAAATAAGCAAATAAAGTCTGTATCACCGGGTACCTTCTATTAATATAATCCCTTATGATTATACAGTGTAAGTGACACACAGATTCAAGGGATTAGGTCTAATAGACAGTGCCCGAAGAACTATGGATGGAGGTTCCTGGCATTGTACAGGAGGTGGTGACAAAAACCATCCCAAGAAGAAGAAATGCAACAAGGCAAAATGGTCATCTGAGGAGGCCTTATAAATAGATGAGAAAAGAAGAGAAGCTAAAGGCAAAGGACAAAGGGAAAGATGCACCCATCTGAATGCAGACTTCCAAAGAATAGCAAGGAGAGATAAGAAAGCATTCCTAAGTGAACACTGCAAAGAAACAGAGGAAAACAACAGAATGGGAAAAACTAGAGATCTCTTCAGGAAAATTAAGAGATACCAAGGGAACATTTCATGCAAAGATGGGCACAACAAAGGACAGAAATGGTTGGACCTAGCAGAAGATATTAAGAGGTGGCAAGAATATACAGAAGAACTATACAAAAAAGATCTTCATGACCCAGATAACCACAATGGTGTGATCACTCACCTAGAACTAGACATCTTGGAATGTGAAGTCAAGTGGGCCTTAGGAAGTATTGCTACAAACAAACCTAGTGGAGGTGACGGAATTCCAGCTGAAATATTTCAAATCCAAAAGGATGATGCTGTGAAAGTGCTGTACTCAATACAGAAGCAAATTTGGAAAACTCAGCAGTGGCTACAGGACTGGAAAAGGTCAGTTTTCATTCCAATCCCAAAGAAGGGCAATGCCAAAGAATGCTCAAACTACCATACAGTTGTGCTCATTTTACATGTTAGCAAGGTAATGCTCAAATCTTTCAAGCTAGGCTACAACATTACATGAACTGAGAACTTTCAAATGTACATGTTGGATTTAGAAAAGGCAGATGAACCAGAGATCAAATTGCCAACACCCACTGAATCACAGAAAAAGCAAGAGAATTACAGAAAAACATCTGCTTCATTGACTATGCTAAAGCCTTTGACTGTGTGGATCACAACAACTGTGGAAAATTCTCAAAGAGATGGGAATACCAAACAACCTGACCTGACTCTTGAAAAACCTGTATGCAGGAAGAAGCAACAGCTAGAACCAGACATGGAACAACAGGCTGGTTCCAAATTGGGAAAGGAGTACTTCAAGGCTGTATAATGTACCCTGCTTGTTTAACTTATATGTAGAGTACATTATGTGAAATGCCAGGCTAGATGAATCAAGGGCTAGAATCAAGACTGCCAGGGGAAATATCAATAACAAGATATGTAGATGACACCACCCTAATGGCAGAAAGTGAAGAGGAGCTAAAGAGTCTCTTGATGCAGGTGAAAGAGGAGAGTGAAAAAGCTGGCTTAAAACTCGACATTTTCAGAAAACTAAGATCATGGCATCTGGTCCCATCACTTCATGGCAAATAGATGGGGAAACAGTGGAAACAGTGGCTGACTTTATTTTCTTGGGCTCCTGAATCACTGTGGACAGTCACTGCAGCCATGAAATTAAAGACATTCGCTTCTTGAAAGAAAAGCTACGACAAACCTAGGCAGTGTTTTAAAAAGCAGACACATCACTTTGTCGACAAAGGTCTGTATAATCAAAGCTATGGCTTTTCCAATAGTCATGTATGGATGTGAGAGTTCAACCATAAAGAAGGATGAGCGCTTAAGAATTAATGTTTTTGAAACTTGATGCTAGAGAAGACTCTTAGAGTCCCTTCGACAGCAAGGAGATCAAACCAATCACTCCAAAAGGACATGAAGCCTGAATATTCACTGGAAGAACTGATGCTGAAGCTCGAATATTTTGGCCATATGATGTGAAGAGCCAGCTTACTGGAAAAGACCCCGATGCTGGGAAAAACTGAGGGCAGGAGAATAAGGGGGCAACAAAGAATGAAATGGGTGGATGGCATCATTGATTCAACGGACTTGAGTCTGAGCAAACTCTGGGAGATAGTGAAGGACAGGGAAGCCTGGCGTGCTGCAGTCCATGGGGTCACAAACAGCCAGACATGACTGAGCGACTGAACAAGTCTTTTCATCTTAACCTACAGAAGCCAAGATACAAACTCAGTTAAGATGCAAAAGAGAATTCAAATGGCACATTTTTAAAACCTATATTCAGACAATTAGGAAGTAAGTAAATGAATAAATTTAATAGTTCAAGAAAATGGAGGCCAAAGATCTACTAAGATAACAATTGTGACAAAAATGAAGTCTGCTAAAGTAAAAATGAAACAAGAGATTTAAACATCTATGAGAAAAAGATTTTTACAAAAAAACTAGTCACAGTTGACTTAGAAATGAAGACAGTTATTGACTGAAATATATTCCCTGGTGGCTCAGACAGTAAAGAATTCGCCTGCAATGCAGGAGACCTGGGTTTGATCCCTGCGTCGGGAGGATCCCTGGAGAAGGGAACGGCAACCCACTCCAGTATTCTTGCCTGGAGAATCCCATGGACGGAGGAGCCTGGTGGGCCCCAATCCATGGAGTTGCAAAGAGTTAGACATGACTAACACTCTAACTTAAAATATTACACATTCCATTAAACAAGATAAATAATTTTTGTTAATATTGACATTATCAGAAAAGTCTTTTAAGTCCTAAGAAGCTATCAAGCTTGTGAATACATTCTAAGTTTTCTCAAATTCTAATTTTTACCTGAAAGCTTTAATTTTAATGTTGGCATCAAATACTGTCAAGGTGTTTTTCTTGTCGGAACAGACTTACTTCATTTATCTTTATCTAAGGACTGTCTATAAGTGCCTAAGTCAAAAAAGCTATAGTTTGAATGTTTTTCTTTCAAGTAAAAATACTATTACACGACAAAAGCATCTAGTTCAGGTAACAATTCAAAAGATTGCATGAGTACTTTTCCTTGAGACGATCACCATAGTTCGGTATGCTGCAGAAATGCTTTACGCATGCTTCCCATTGTGTCACTCAAAATATTAAAAAGAAAGGCTTTCAAAGGTTGAGATTTAATTAAATTAATAATGTTTACCATTATAGATATTAAGTGAACCTGGCTTTTTTTCTTTTTAAGACTGAGTGCAAGACAAGGAAGAACTCAGTGACTACTAGAATAGTTTGATGCCACTGTTTTAATTTATGCCAAGGCATCAGCAATTTTACCTACCACTGCTTCTGCATCAATAATGCGAATATCAACCCGGTGCAAGAGGCAAATCACATTCTGGAATTATGTGAACACAGTCTGACATGTGGACTGGCAGTGCAGGACAGGAAGAGCTGCTGAAACTTCACAGACTGGGAAATGTTTCACCGTGCTTCTCAAAGAAGAAACTCACAGTGACTAGCTTCATGCCTTCTTGCTACTTATAAGGCAACAGTAAATATTTAAGAGCACTCTAAAATAACTAGTAAAAAAAATTAAGTTTCTGAAAGATGTTAAATTAGGTCAAGTGCTTAATTTCAACAAAGAAAAGAAATATTGTGTACAGCAAGGAGCTTGAATTCTCTCCTTGGGTCAAAACACTTAGGCTGAGAGCACACACACACCCTGCACATTACTGCTGATGTCTTACCTTAGCTCTGGAGGAACTGACATGCTCCATATTTTCAATGCTGCAGATAACAGTTCTGTGAAACTTTCCGGCAAGCCACTCTGATATAGTCCTAGAAGCTACGAGGACTTCCGTAACCAAACCAGGTTACTTGACCTTCAGGAGACAAATTGTAACACAAAATAAAAAGAAAACCAGACTAGTAACTCAAAATGCAAGAACAACAAAACAAAGGGCAGTAGTCTGAGATTGTGGAAAGGACACTGATCTTGGGATCAAAAAGCCTTAAGTCTGGTCCCTTTCTAACTTTACCTACTTGTGTGATTTGGGGCAATTTATTTAATGGATCTGGATCTCAACAATACAATCAAAGTAAATGAAGCAAAAAGGGCCTAGATACTAAACACAATTGTTTGCAGGTTAACATCCTATTATTCTAACAGTCTTTCAGAGAGCACACAGTTATCCTTCTCTGTGCTTCCAGTTAAGCATTAATTTAAATTGCACCTTTGCCGTTTACTGACTCTGTGATCCCAGGCAAGTTAATTAAGCTTTCTGAACACCACTTTTCTTGACTCTAAAAGGGGACTAGTTGGAGTAACCACTTTATGAGTATTCTCTTAATCAAATACAACAAGGCCTGAGTAATGCCTGAGTAGTCCTGAGCATAGGACTTGGCACATAAAAATACTGTAAACAAAGAAAGATAATAAAAAAGAAAAAAAAAATTACCTCTTGCATCCTAAGCCTTTCTCTTTCTGGAAAAACAGAAAAAAATTTAAAAGGCAACACTTTTTCTCCTCTTCAGAGGGATATTTCAAAGAAATGAAACAACATGTAGCCCATAAGTACCTATCAACAGCAGGAACCATACATTGACTAATCATTACCACCCATTCACTACCATTCTACCCAAACCTTCATCTGTCATTCACCTGGTCACTTCTAGTCAACAACCCATGACAAAAGTCCTTAGGCACTTACCATTCTAACCTTCCAGACCTGAATAACTTCGTCTGTGTTCAAGAACAAATGTTCTTTTGTGTGTATTAATATTTCAATGCAGGACTTTGGGTAATAAGTCCATGGGAACAATTTTGTACTCTGAATATTTTTAAATGGGATATGAGAGACATCTTAGTATTTCTTCAGTTTTCTGAAATAATTATTCTTACCTAGGGAAGTTGTTCAATCTTAAGAAAGAGTAGCATTTGTATTTTAAAATCTCTGCTTCTTTATTTTCAAGTAACATTTATTTGTCTCAATTTTCTTTGCCCCAGTAACATGTTCTCTCTAAGCAACATCAAGAAGTGAAAAGTGTTTTTGTCCAGGAGCAGCATTTTAGGAACAATGTCTGAAACATCTGAGTGGTGTCCAACCACGGCAACACCTAAGAATAACTAGGCTTCTTTTAAAAAGTACTCATGTCTGGGCTCCACCCAAACTAAATAGTCAGAATCTTTGGGGGTGGGCCTAGGCATTGCTATTGTTAAAAAGATCCCTCTGGTATTTCTAATAATATAGTTAATCAACCAAGGGAAAGTTCACATGTCACGACAGGTAATCCCTACTCACCATGCAGGACATTTCAAAGGCCTCCTCCTTTTGTAAGCTGCATGTGATCTCTACAGGAAGTTTCTCCTCCCTACGAGCTGGCCTAACACCCTGAGCTTACACTTACAGTTACCTGCTTACTTGATTATCTCATACATTACATGGTAAGGTCACTAAGGCAGAGACCATATCTTATTTGTCTTTAATTCTACCTCCAGCACTTGACACAGTGCTTGTCTCACAGCAGGCATTTAATAAATAAATATTAAAACAAATCAACTGGTTAATCCACACTAACAAGATCTCAATTGCAACGCATATACAAATTTGAATCTTAAAAATCTAATTAGGATCCTTTTACAGTAACAGCTCAGTGACAATCTGGTATCAAGATGTCGGCATGCTACATTACAAACATCAAATATTCTGGACAAAAATATTTACCTTTACAAAAATACAAAAGCATTGACACATCCTTACTCAAACATCATTATATAAGTGAAATGTCTCTTCAGTAATGAAATCTTACTGCCAAAAGATAGAAATCTATAGGAACACTTATAATCTTCCTTCTTTCTTTCAGTCTCTCCCCATCACTTTTCTTTGCTCCTTCCTCTCTTTAGTTAAAAAAATTCCAAGAACAGGATGTCAGTATAATCCGTTTTTAGGGCAATTTTCATGTTATCAATTTGTTAGCCATTTGGAGAAGAGACAGGATGTCTAATGTTAAGAATATGGGCTTTTGAGTCAAGAGGACCAGAACAGATCACTTTCTATACGTGCAATCTTAAGCAAATGACTTTTCATTCTACCAACCTGAGTTTTTTGTTTTTTTCATTTTTTGAATATAATTTTATTTCATTGAAGTTTTTTTTTTCCATTTATTTTTATTCGTTGGAGGCTAATTACTTTACAATATTGTAGTGGTTTTTGCCATACATTGACATGAATCAGCCATGGATTTACATGTGTTCCCCATCCCGATCCCCCCTCCCACCTCCCTCTCCACCCGATTCCTCTGGGTCTTCCCAGTGTACCAGCCCTGAGCACCCGTCTCATGCATCCAACCTGGGCTGGTGATCTGTTTCACCCTTGATAGTATATTTGTTTCCATGCTGTTCTCTCTGAACACCCCACCCTCACCTTCTCCCACAGAGTCTAAAAGTCTGTTCTGTACATCTGTGTCTCTTTTTCTGTTTTGCATCTAGGGTTATCGTTACCATTTTTTAAAATTCCATATATATGCGTTAGTATACTGTATTGGTCTTTATCTTTCTGGCTTATTTCACTCCGTATAATGGGCTCCAGTTTCATCCACCTCATTAGAACTGAGTCAAATGAATTCTTTTTAATGGCTGAGTAATATTCCAAAGTGTATATGTACCACAGCTTCCTTATCCATTCGTCTGCTGATGGGCATCTAGGTTGCTTCCATGTCCTAGCTATTATAAACAGTGCTGCGATGAACACTGGGGTACACGTGTCTCTTTCAGATCTGGTTTCCTCGGTGTGTATGCCCAGGAGTGGGACTGCTAGGTCATATGGCCTTAATTTTCATTTCCATTTCACTATAACCTTGCAAAAAAAGAGACCCTATTTTTAAAGTGAACTTCATATATATTTCTTAAATATTTTGTTTTTAATATTGTATTTTTAAGAGTCTAACCTCTACTCTAGATTTTTAATCTTTGTTTTTCAGTATTTGATATCAATTTTGGACATTTAAGAATCCAATATTCAGTACCCATTTTTACTCAGGAGTGTGATGATTACTCTTTCCCCCTTTTGGCTTGCCTTTTTCTCCCCCAGATCACCTCTATTTCCTCCCTCCCCCTTCTCTTCTCAATGCAATCCCTACCAACATGATTTTTCTCTATAAACTGATAATAATGGTAGTATCTCCATGATAACACTGTTGTGAGGATTAGATAATATATGTGTAGCAATTACTATATAGCCTAATACAGATGTTAATAACCAGTATTACTTTTATTATTATTAGCATACAAAGAGTTAAGAGATCCAAGCTCCCCCTGCATTACAAAATAGCAATGAGACGCACAGTGAAGTTTTTCCCATTACATGGTTAGAATCTAGAAAAATCTTTAAAATTTACTCCCTAATCCAACCTTTTCCCATAACAACCATCCTAAATTGACCTCCCTAAAATCTAGTCTTGGTTAATTTCTTTAGCCTCTATTAACTGAGATCATCCCACAATTTAAAAATGAGGAATAGCAACCACACTTCTCTCAATAAATGCAGTACCATACACTGGAAGCAATCTTGTAGGGAGAATCACAAGGTTTCTCTGGTAACTTTATTTTAAACCTTCTCATAAGTTTTATGTGGCTTGGGAAAATAATTTATGAGAAGCTTCAAAGCAGAGGTGTTGAAAATTTTTTTAAATGTAACAAAGTCCCCTATCGATGGGTAGGGATAACTCAGTAATCCCACTACTGGGCATATTTCCAGAAAGAACCATAATTCAAAACAATACATGCACCCCAGTGTTCACTGTAGAGCACTACTTACAATAGGCAGGACATGGAAGCAACCTAAATGTCCATCAACAGGGGAATGGATAAAGAAGCTGTGGTGCATATAGAGAATGGAATGTTACTCAACCATAAAAAGGAATGAAACCGGATCATTTGTAGAAACATGTATGGACCTAGAGGCTATCATACAGAGTAAGGTAAGTTACAAAGAAAAAAATATCACATATTAATGCATATATGCGGAATCTAGAAAAATGGTATAGATGATCTTATTTGCAAACCAGAAACAGAGACACAGACATAGAGAACAAACATCTGGACACCAAGGGGGGAGAAGTGGGTGGGAAGAACTGGGAGTTTGGGACTGACATATGTGCACTACCGATAATATGTGTAAAATAGGTAAGAGCTGAAAACCTGCTAAATAGCTCAGGGGACTCTTCTCGGTGCTCTGCGGTCACCTAACTGGGAAGGAAACCCCCACCCGAGGGGAGTATGTAGACGGGCACTGATTCTGCTTGTTGCAGCAGACCAACAGGGCTGTGAAGCAGCTGCACTCCAGAAACACGAACGCGAAAGCAGAGCCCCTTTCGGAGCAGAGGAAACAAAGGTTCGGAGAGACTAAGTGTCTAGGCTTAGGTCATACAGGCAAGGAGTGCACGCTAAACCCTTAAGACTCCTGCCATGTGTATGATATGCTGTCTGCAGGACTTTCACCCAAGACACAATGACAACATTTCCTAGAGAAGAGGCTACAGAAACTGAGAAACTAAACAACTAGCAGAGTGACACGTCACCATGACCTGCAGGGCCTTAGCTGAAGCTGAAGCTCCAATCCGCTGGCCACCTGATGTAAAGAGCCGACTCATTAGAAAAAACCCTGATGCTGGGAAAGGCAGGAGGAGAAGGGGACGACAGAAGATGAGATGGTTGGATGGCGTCACCAACTCAATGGACGTGAGTTTGAGCAAGCTCCGGGAGATGGTGAA